TTCCTACTATGTATCCAATCCGCAGTGAGAAGGCTTGGTGTGTTTTTTAGCATTTTGAATGATGATAGAATTGTAATATCAAATTTAGGATACCTTTCAAAATTCTGACGTTAATGTGTAACTGTTTAGTGGTCCAGTCACTAGACTTTTGTCAAAATCAAATTCAAATTAAAAAGTGCGTTTTTCCCAAAAGCTGTTATACAGTCCCATTGATGGTAAGAAAAAAGTTCAGCGACATGAATTTTAGTACCATCGCACCTAAATTTTAATATGGAACGAACTACCTTTGCATATTATACAATAAAAACATTAATAGTTTCAAAAACAAATTTTAAAAATCCATTCTTAAAGGCCCTTTCACAATTGGCGCACGAGCACTTTACAACACTTTGCGATCGGAAAATTTTAGCTTCGCACGAGCTCTCGCATACGTTGCACGATGTCTCGCATTCATTGCATGTGTTTTAGTGGTCGCATCAAGTCTCTTCAAAATAGTCAACATGCACACTATTCAGACGCGACCAAATGCGATCCAAATTATCGCAATTCAACGCACGAAAGTTAGTGCGAATGTCTTACAACGTTTTATGTACTCGTAAGAGTGATGTACGATTTTTAAAGATCGTAAGATAAATCGCAGCTGTCTTTGCGTGTGTTTTGCGACCATGAGACTGTTGCTCAACATGTCTCATGTAATCTTGCAACGTTTTACTATCATTGCTTGATTTATTACATTCAATTGCCAATCTTTGCAACATGTATTTATGCCATGTACAATTATAAGTATCTTTTACTATGTCAACTGAAGAGCGTCGGAAACGGTTGGTATATATACCCGGCCCTCTGACTCGCACGAACATTCGTACTATGGAATGCATGAGCGCACGAGCACCGCACGTCCAATCGTATTGTCTCACGTTCAATCGTCCGATTACTTGATCAGTCGTGCAATCCTATCGCATTATCTTACAACACTCGCTTTCATTCTACAACAGTCGCATATAGACGCAAGATATATCGCAAGATTTAATGCACAACAGTCGCTTTAAATCGTGTGCATTTTGTACGAACATTTTTTCATATGCAATTATTTTGGCAACAGTTTACGATCCTAGACAAAATCATTCAGTCGCACGAATATTTTGTCGCTTCTGCTCGTGCGCCAATTGTGAAAGGGCCTTAAGGAACTTATTTTAACCGTTGCTCTCCATATTTATATATTTAATGTCAATATTTTTTTTACAGTTCCTGTACAACGCCATTGTATACGCGTATGAATTAAATGGCGTTCAATCAAATAAATTTGTTTCACATAAGAGGCACATTACGTCTCATAAACATGGAACTGGGTTTCCCTTTAGAAAATCTGGGTAGGAGATTGTAATGTTAAATCTGTTAAAGACGCTCGAGAGGAATATTAACAGGGACAACGTATTCTTGTTTAAAAAAAGGAGGTTGAGAAAAATATACTTACCGAAAATCTCTGCAACAAACAAAAAGAAAAACAAGTGTTCAAACTCGAAAAGTTTTTTATTTGAAGGAGGCGTGAGGAGGGGGGGGGGGCAATTTTTTTCAGTGCCAAATTTTATTCATGGACTACCACATTACCCTTATTTGAAGATACTGCAACAAAATGTGGGTATTTCAATGAAGATTTTCAATAGAAAAAGATATGCTTTGAAGAAGTGCCCCCCATGCTACGTGCAAATTCCTTCCCACATTTAATTTACGACAGGGAAATTATTTTTGTTTAGGAGACGCAACTTGCCTATTGAGTGAGCATTCATATCTGTTCATCTAGTTGACGAGTAAACATTTTGCCCAACAAATGACCATTCACTTTTTCTTCGTGGTGAATGGACGAAATCCGGCCATATTCTTGAAAGAAAACAAAGATTTAAACATAGAAAAAGCCTTTGAGTTGAAACCCCCTATGTTAACAAACCTTGAAACCCCGTTAGGCACAGCAGAATTTCGTCACAAAAGTTTATATTTCTTACAGAAATCGAGATTGTTTAAGTTGAAGAAAGTATGCATGGTTTGTTTTTGTATCAATCTTTATCTTTCATCCTTAAAATGAGCTTTAAACGTCCGTTTTTGAAAATAAAAGAGCAAAGAATATCAGCAACACCACAACTTTTTCCAGTCGACTGAACTGTCCAGAAGTGTTAGCATAAACCAACCGTAAGGCTTTCAAAAAGCCTATTGCACTAAATTGGTAGGTGATACATTCTTACAACCCGTGCGCATGTCATTTGGCTCCAAATAATTCATAAGCAGAGAAATTTTACAAATATATTTTCCAAATGCAGAAAATCACCGCTTCGGAGTTGAAACCCCATATGTTACTTAACCGAAACCCCGCATGTGCCCCTTTACACGGTGAAAGGGGAAACACTTAAAAGTATGACGGTGCGTATACGTCATATTACGTTATATTTAGGTGCGGCGACTACCATAAATGCACATCGTTTAAAATCCGATATTTTGCAAAGTATACATCATATTCCTTTGAATTTTTCAAGGTCTGATTTCAAATAAATAAAGCTTCCATCATGTATAATTTTGTTGCTTAACTTCGATTAATAGCAATTTTTCAAGGTTGTGACATTACCTTTGGATCAACCCTCGTATGTTGATCGTTAATCCTCAGTGTTACAGGAATAATACATAAAATTAATTCTCTGTATCTAATCAGATAGCTACTCCAGCATGCTACACATTTATGGCGAAATGCTTTTGATTTGCTGTTGCTAAAATCCCAAGGGGAAAGAAAATTTTTATTAAACAAGAGGCTCATGGGCCACATCCCTCACCTGAGTAGCTTTGACCATGCTGTTCTTTAAATTACAAGATTTCCCCCTTGAAATAAGTGACCCCATCCTACCCCAAGAGTCAATGACAGTCTTAATTTGAAAAATTTTAAATCTACAACACCCAATGATGCTTTCACATATGTTTCAGCTTTCCTGACCCAGTGGTTCTTTAGAAGATTTTAAAAGTTTTTTCCTACATACATGGATATTTCAATGTAAAACTTGGATTTCAAATTATGGCCCCGTCCAACCCACGGGGGTCATCGAAAGCAAGTCTGGTAGTGGCCATCCCTAGATGCTTCATCCATGCAAGTTTTATCCAGGCATAAAGTTTCTTGGGAATAGACCTGCTCAAAAAACTTGAATTTGGTCACTCATCACAAAATGTAGGTCAGATCCAGCATCGTTTGGTGGTGTCCATCCCTAGATGCATCATCTATGCAAGTTTAGTCCAGGTAGGGCTTATAATTACTTGGAAAGGCCATAATAAATAAATTGCTAGATCCTCATCCAATTTTTTTTCAAAAATCGAGGCAGGCGGGCGGCTTTTATTTTATACTTTTTATTTTTTCAATTTTGCAGATTTTTTATTGACCTGGTCAGTCGGTGTAATTTTATCTACAATACTCGAATAAAAGTCATAGTAAAGGTTCAATTACCTCTTACTTCACATCATCACCAATCTTTTTCAAACAATGACCTTTGTTTAAAATATATACGCATGTATTACCATCTTTTCAGCTGTCAAAATCATGTCGTCTTTTGCAGGATTTAAAACGATAGTAGAATGATAGATGAAAACCGATCCCGATCAGAATTAAGACGAAGAAAAACAGAGACTAGAACTGTCCAATAGGGACAAATACCCCCGCTGGGTTTTTCAGAGTAGGTGCCAATTCAGAAATATTTTATGGACCTAGTAAGAGGTTTTCACTACTGTCTAATAAAGTGCCCCGCCACAGCATGATATGCGTCAAATATTGTTCAATAATCATTAATTGGTTAGGGTGCAAGAAAATCAAGAAACCTTGATTAACAGATTGACACAGATTTCAATGATCTAATTTCCATTTCTTATCATGTTTAAAATATTGTACATACATCTCTAAGAGACTTACAGTGTAGAAATTAATTAAAACCAATAATACATCATATAATTCTAAACTGGCTGTGTTAGAGCTAAACAAATAGCCATCTGCAGCTTTAAATTGTTTATTGCATATTTTATGAACTAATGGAAATGCTACAGTCTAATAAAAAAAATCAAAAATTAATTATTCTTTAAACTATAAAATTCAAGTGAGACATGACTGCAATTTGTTGCAAATATATAACAAGAGGCCCATGGGCCACATCGCTCACCTGAGAAGCTTTGACCATTCCGTTCTTTACCAGATTTCCCTTTAAAATACATACAGTAAAACTCGTTTAGTACGAACACGGATATAGCAAAGTTTTTCTGGTCCCCCTGCAAAATTCTTAACAATTCCTTGTAAAATTTTACGGTTATAAAAAACTCTGATATAACGAATTTTGAGTCGCATAGAAGTGAAACATAATGAAATTTACATCTTTTATAATGAACTTTCGGGGGCCATGATTTTAACAATTAAATATCTACACTACCCAAGGATGCTTCCACATAAGTTTCAGCTTTCCTGGCCCAGTGGTTCTTGGGAAGAAGATTTTTTAATGACCCCACCCTATTTTCGTCTGTTCTTGATTATCTCCCCTTGTAAGGGGACTTTGCCCTTCATTTTAAGAATTTAAATTTCTCTTCACCCAAGGATGCTTTGTACTAAGTTTGGTTAAAATTGGTCCATTGGTTCTTGAGAAGAAGTCAAAAATGTAAAAAGTTTACAGATGGACGGATGGAAGACGGACAGAATGTGATCAGAAAAGCTCACTTGAGCCTTCGGCTCAGGTGAGTTAAAAGGCAATACCAAGTTAAAAACAAATATCAAATGACCAAACAAAAATTCTTGTTTATTCCTGGACATCAAGCAGTCAAACTGTTGGTATGATTGTAATCAGCATTGAGCCCTCTACCACAATTATGAAATTCATGGCACCAGGGTCAGGGGTTCTAGTGTTAGAGACGATCCTTTGAATTATGTTGTATGATTTGACCTCTATTTGACCATGTCGTAGACTTATGTTTACCCTATGCCCTCTATTTGACCTTGTAGATTCCCCTGAGAGAGACGGCCCTAGAGATGATCCTTTGATCTATTTATGTATGATTTGACCTTTATTTGACCTTGTAGATTCCCCTGAGAGAGACTGCCCTAGAGATGATCCTTCCATCTATTTATGTATAATTTGACCTTTATTTGACCTTGTAGATTCCCCTGAGAGAGACGGCCCTAGAGATGATCCTTCGATCTATTCAGCGTCATCAGAAGAGCATCCTTATTGTGCCCCCCGGCTGTAGGACGCTGGTCAATCTCACCTGTAGCCTTCAGGAAAATCTTGACAACTTCCTCTCCTCAGGTAAGTCTAGAAAACAGGTCAATCTCAGAAACAGGTAACAGATCAATCTACCAAACTGGCCAGTCTCTTATACAGGTCAATAGGTCTATGTCTTAAACAGGTCAGTCTTCAAAACAGGTAAACAGGTCAATCTCCAAAACAGGTCAACTTCTACTGTTCTAGTACAGGTAAACAGGTCAATCTGTAATACAGGTAAACAGGTCAATTTCTAATACAGGTAAACAGGTCAATCTTTAAAACAGGTAAACAGGTCAATCTCCAAAACAGGTCAACTTCTAGTACAGGTAAACAGGTCAATCTCTAATACAGGTGGACAGGTCAATTTCTAATACAGGTAAAAGGTCAATCTTTAAAACAGGTAAACCAGGTCAATCTCCAAAACAGGTAAACAGGTCAATCTCCAAAACAGGTAAACTGGTCAATCTCTTAAACAGGTAAATCTTTAATACAGGTAAACAGGTCAATCTCTAATGCAGGTAAACAGGTCAATCTCCAATACAGGTAAACAGGTCAATCTCTAATGCAGGTAAACAGGTCAATTTTTAATACAGGTAAACAGGTCAATCTTTAAAACAGGTAAACTGGTCAATCTCTAATACAGGTAAACAGGTCAATCTCCAATACAGGTAAACAGTTCAATCTCTAATGCAGTTAAACAGGTCAATTTTTAATACAGGTAAACAGGTCAATCTTTAAAACAGGTAAACAGTTCAATCTTTAATACAGGTAAACGGGTCAATCTCTAATAAGGTTAACTGGTTAATTTCCAAAATAGGAAATCTCCAAAGGAAAGGATCTTTAAGAATCTTCATCTGAGGAGTGGTGTGGATCATGGGCAGAATTTTATTTACTGTGTAGGGACAATTACATAGAAAGCATATTGTTTTTACATTGTAAGCGATGAATCTTGAAGCTGTAGGGAGATACGATGTGTTACTGTGACACACCTATTATACGATATTTAATCTTTTCTTTTTTTGGTCAACAGACACGGAATTTTCACCGGAGGTCGGGGAAGCTGTAGAGAGATATGACGCGTTACTGAGACACATCTTCCAGCACGCTGTCCCGGTGATCCAGTCCGTATTACAAGAATACCCAAACATCTTAGACGTGAAGACCGAGGGCCGACGATTCCTGTACAACTACTCTAAAATGACACAGTTCACGTAGGCCTGATTAAAATTGTCAATAAGATATGTTCTAATTACAAACAGACAGTAATATAATGAATTAAAGAAATTTCTCTTTTATGAGGAAAGTTTAAGGAGAGGATATGGAACTTTTTCTAATTTTCACTTTTTTCTCTTTTTTATCTAAAGGCTATTTTAGGTCTATCTTTAAAAATATTTATCTAATATTAACTTATTTTATTATGCTATTTTTCTTAAAAGGCAAAAGAAAAAGTTACAAGCTCTATCTACGTCAACACAAGACAAGGAAAGTCAGGAGCTCACAGAGACATTAACTACCCCCAAAATGTTTGTATCTAACCACCAGGAAGAGGAGCCCTCGGGAATTCTCAAAAAGACGGAAGAGAAAGGTTACATGGCTGCCCTGGATCGCAAAGTCCACTTCGCCGACAAAGAACCACTGGACTCCATGACCAGCTCAGAGGACGAATCTGACCTTGACCTTCAGACTACAGAGGTCAAGGCCAGGTTAGAGGTACAGGAGACTGTTATTCTGAGTGAGGAGGCTGCTGAAGCTCTGAGATTAAAATCTGTGGCAAGTCAGGAGGGTGTCCAAATGAGACGGAAGGAATCGGAAAAGGATGAGACACGAGAGAGACGGTACACGTCGGAAATGAAAATTAACGTGAGTGGGAAGGGCCAGATCCAGGAGGTGGTCGCCAAGTGTGGTCAAACAGACATCACCATAGCAACTTACCCCACCCCTAGCAACCCAGTGTCCATATTTTGTCCTACAGTAAATTGTAGAGGTCATGTAGGCAACTCAGAGCCCATTTGTCAACCTGACCCGATGTTTGATGTGAATGATATTCCAGCAGAGGAAAATGGATCTGAACGAATTTTATCTAAAGACAATGAAGACACAAATACAAATAATGATGGGAGTTCCACTCTTAATGAATGTCAGACAAATAAGCTAAGAGAATATGACAGGAAAGAGGATAGTGCTGTGTTACGTCCATTTCGGCAACAAACATTAGACACAGGAATTGCTCATTCTACAAACTCTCTGGACAAAAGTAACACTCAATCTTCAAACTCACAGGAAATGAGTAATTCAAACTCGCAGGACAAGAGTAACGCTCAGTCTTCAAACTCACAAGACACAAGTAACACTCATTCTCTGATCTCACAGGATTCTACAGAGGAGGAAGATTATGTACCAATGGATTGGCCTCGCACTGACGGCCTCGGGACACAAGAGAATGGAGAGACTTGTGAAGAAGTCTGCTTGAGAGAGAAGTCAGGTCAGAAGTCGGGAGTGTTACGATACTCGTTGTCAGATGTGTCCTTATGTACCAAAGTCATCAGGCTACAGGTATCGGTGGAAAAAACAGATATTTTTAGCATTATTGTAACTACTGTAGATTTCTTATTTTTTGCAAGTACTTTTTATTGCAAATCATCAAATGGGCTCTTTAAGTTCAGATTGGGAGAATAAAAATTTGCAATTGGACGGTTGATCAATAGAATTTAAATGGATTTCAGCACTCTGAATATAAAAGCGAGTAATTTTATTTCGTGAGTGATGCTTATTGTGAAATTATGAGGAAATTAATTTGTTGAATATAATAAGAAATCTACAGTATTTGAATTTTGGTGTAATGTGAAACAAACTGTACATGTTTGCAGGAATCATATTTCTTATGATGCCTAAATGTTTTGGTTATCAGAATTACCTGAAAATAAGTGAACTTCATTATTTTTTTGGAAAAGACATTAAAAAAGTCAATTTTTTTTTTCAAATATCTGTTTTAAACACTTTTTTTTCAATTTTAAGGTGACTCACCACATCAGCTCTTTGGTGTTTGGAGGTAAAGATGCTCAGGCTCTCTCTGTCATTGACAAACCCCTGCACAGTCTTTTAGAGGTCAGTGGGGCACCACAAGGGTTACAGGCATATGTCAAATCTCAGTACAGTGACAGTAAAACCTTGATTGACCTTGATACAGCTTTCCTCATCAGCATTATAGATGCCATTAGATACAGGTTAGTCCAATAAATGAAAACATCAGATACAGTTTAGTCCAATAACTGATGCCATCAGATACAAGTATTTCCTAACTGATACCAACATATACAGGTTAGTCCAATAAATGAAAACATCAGATACAGGTTAGTCCAATAACTGATGCCATCAGATACAGGTTAGTCCAATAACTGATGCCATCAGATACAAGTATTTCTTACTGATACTAACATATACAGGTTAGTCCAAAAACTGATGCCATCACATAAATGTACAAGTATTTCCTAACTGATACCAACATATACAGGTTAGTCCAATAACTGGTGCCATCAGATACAGGTTAGTCCAATAACTGATGCCATCAGATACAGGTTAGTCCAATTACTGATGCCATCAGATACAAGTATTTCTTACTGATACCAACATATACAGGTTAGTCCAAAAATGATGCCAACATATACAGGTTAGTCCAATAACTGATGGCAAAAGAAATATGAGATGCATTTAACACAGTTCAGTCAAATAATTGACATTTTTAAATCAAAGGAGAAATTACTCTTATTATAAAGTAATACGATAAACACCCATGGTAAAAACACCATGGAACTGGAAGTCTTTGATGTGCAATGTATTTTTTTTTTAAAGTAACGGTGTCTTGTGCATTACTGTGTTTCCATGTTAACTGTATCTAATCTTTTTTTAGGTCTCTTTTTCATGACCTTGTTCATAAGAGTGTCCTTGAGGTCATGAACTGTATGTTTGGTAAATACAGCCTTGACGTCCTGAAGGTGGCATTGACCTGTTTGACCTCTGTGTTCCAGAACCAGCATATCCTGCCCCAGTTATCAGGTGTGTCTTACCATCCATCAATCTGTAGTCACAGCACAAGAGCACTTTACACAAACCAATCTGTAGTCACAGCACATGAACACTTTACATCCACCAATCTGTAGTCACAGCACAAGAGCAATCTGTAGTCACAGCACAAGAGCACTTTACACAAACCAATCTGTAGTCACAGCAAAAGAGAACTTTACATGCACCAATCTGTAGTCACAGCACAAGAGCACTTTACATGCACCAATCTACAGTCACAGCACAAGAGCAATCTGTAGTCACAGCACAAGAGCACTTTACACAAAAACCAATCTGTAGTCACAGCAAAAGAGAACTTTCCACCAATCTATAGTCACAACACAAGAGCAATCTGTAGTCACAGCACAAGAGCACTTTACACAAACCAATCTGTAGTCACAGCACAAGAACACTTTACATGCACCAATCTGTAGTCACAGCACAAGAACACTTTACATGCACCAATTTGTAGTCACAGCACAAGAACACTTTACATGCACCAATCTGTAGTCACAGCACAAGTAGTCACAGCACAAGAACACTTTACATGCACCAATCTGTAGTCACAGCACAAGAACACTTTACATGCACCAATTTGTAGTCACAGCACAAGAACACTCACATGCACCAATCTGTAGTCACAGCACAAGAGCAATCTGTAGTCACAGCACAAGAACACTTTACATGCACCAATCTGTAGTCACAGCACAAGACAGCACAAGAACACTTTACATGCACCAATCTGTAGTCACAGCACAAGAACACTTTACATGCACCAATCTGTAGTCACAGCACAAGAACACTCACATGCACCAATCTATAGTCACAGCACAAGACTGCACAAGAACACTTTACATGCACCAATCTGTAGTCACAGCACAAGAACACTTTACATGCACCAATCTGTAGTCACAGCACAAGAACACTTTACATGCACCAATTTGTAGTCACAGCACAAGAACACTTTACATCCACCAATCTGTAGTCTCAGCACAAGAACACTTTACATGCACCAATCTGTAGTCATAGCACAAGAGCACTTGACATGTATTCAGAACTTATAATTAATCTCTGTGTTTCTTTTTTCCAAATTTCTTTTTTTTTATGACAGAGTCCACATTTCTGAAGGAGGCGAAGGAGATTATATCAAAATTATGAGGTGTTTTACAGACAGACATACCAGCAATACAGGAACTTCACAGGGTTGTGAGTGACATCACCCCCATAGAATGAAATATCCCTCAACACCCTGACCGTCTGTAGAATAACACACCCATCTCTTCAGATGTTACATGACCCTCCATCCACCCATACAGAAAGGTGGTGGTGGTGGTGGGGGGGGGGTAAATGACATCACCCCCATTGAATGAAGAAGATCGTCCCAGCGAGGTGTCTGACACTAATCTGTTATCTTTTTTTTGGTGACTTCTACAAAACAGAATCTTTTGTAATTTAAATCACTTCAGGTCATGTATGAAAAGAATAACAATTAATTTATATGAAATAGTTTGTTAAGTTTAATAGAAATGTTATGTTGAATAATTACGTTTTACTAAATACATGGGGTGCCATAAATTATTTATATGCTAGGCAATAGTATTGTGTACTTATGAATTTAATTAAGGGAATAACTCACTTTAGTAAAAAAAAAACCTGCTACTTATGTACAAAAAAATGAACTGGTTTTGTCAAATCTGGATCCTAACTATTTATAATCACTCCATTTGTAGCATGCTTATTTAAGGTGAACAGTTATGAGGAACTCGGTGCTATATAGATTCTACCACTGGCTGCACGTCAGCTTTTGTTAACTTTGGAATCACTGTGTTAGAGATGGTTATACATAAATGAATGTAATATGATTGTATTGTCTCTAGATAATAACCGTTCCTTGTCTGTTGGTATTTACGCAATTGTTAATTTGATATTGAAAGTTTTTTTACCAAATAATTTGAATTTGGTCAAACCAAATTTTAATCTGGTTTTTTTTTTCCATCATATATGGATATACTTGCAATTAATTTCTATAAAAATATGCTGTGTATATTTAAAACAAGTTTTTTGAAAAAAAAATGGATATACATTACTATACAACATGCTGTATTAATATTGATCTTCAGTATGCTTTGATATGTCAGATTTGTTATGAAATCCATAAGGGATAATTCAAACTTGCTCATTGACAAACCATGTAATTTACAATAAATCCTAACCCCCCAACCTTACCTCAACCACAAATGAACTTATAGCATGATCTTACCTAGTAATTGAATATATAACAATCCACCCCCAAAGAACTTAGATCCATATCTACCCCCAAAGAATTTGCATCCATATCTACCATCAAAGAACATAGATCCATATCCACCCACAAAGAACTTAGATCCATATCCATCCACAAAGAACTTAGATCCATATCCATCAACAAAGAACTTAGATACATATCCACCAACAAAGAACTTAGATCCATATCCATCAACAAAGAACTTAGATACATATCCACCAACAAAGAACTTAGATACATATCCATCCACAACGAACTTAGATCCATATCCATCCACAAAGAACTTAGATCCATATCCACCCACAAAGAACTTAGATCCATATCCATCCACAAAGAACTTAGATCCATATCCAACCACAGAGAATTTGTGTCCATTCTATCAAACTGAACATATCAGAATCTACCTTATAATACAGAACTTGAATCACTATCAACCCTTCACAAAACACTAATAGGATCAGTATAAACCCTAAAAGAATATAGCTTAAGATCCACCCCACAAAGAACTTGGATCGCTATCATTCCATGCCGAACAGTTGATCTTGCTATAAAAAAAAATATGGATTATTATCAAACCTTATCTTAAACACTTTACCTTCATGTGATATATTGTTACGATTTTTAAAATCTATTTATTATCTAGTAATACGTATTAAGTTTGCTTTTGATTATAAGCTGTGTAAAATCAAGCAAAAAACCTCACATTCCTTAGATTACCAGTATGTGATTTTACATGAAGTTGTTTTATCATGCTAATTAGCCATGATTTATTTGTGTTGATGATTTTTTTTAAAAATATTTTTAGTGTAGAAATTTTTTAAATGTTATAACATTTTTTTATGTATTGAAAATTTATATAGGTAGTGCAAAAATTTTTCATATTTTAAGTTTATTTAATTTTTTTGGTTTTGTATATATACATAGAAATGATCGTGTGGGAGATATTGTTCATGTAAAACAGAGTGCAATATTACCTATAATTTTTATTGATAGCTTTATGAACTGCAAATTCAAAATGTATAAAAGGTTTATATGAAGTACATGTCATGATTGTATAAATTGTTCTTGATTGAAAGTTTATTTATGTTTTCATTGATATATGTATGATTATAAAAATATTTTAAATTTGCTTTACAACTTTAAATTTTTTCACATTAAAAATTTTATTTTTTTATAACAGGAAATCCAATTAATAAATAAAATTTAACATCAAAACTGATTGTGCTTGCTGTTTGCAATATAGCTCAGGTTGGTCCATTTTAGGAGAATTGGTAGATAAATCCAGCTGTACAAGGATTTGCCGGGGTCCTATAGTAGTCACTCTGTCTTATTATTCTTCCAACCACAAAGAGGTAGAGCCTTTTTGGGCCTTATTTGGCCCTGAGAATTTCTGAAAATTCAAAACCGCTCAGTTTAGGTTGCAAATGCAGTACTTATCACTTAGACTGTTGGTGACCACGTATCTATTAAGTGTGACGTAATTTCACATCTAGTTAATGCATTATGACGTCATAAAAAGCGTCATTTTCCTCGTATCCTGTAAATTCCTATGAAAATGACCTAAAGATGAAGCACTTTTTCAATATTTCATATAAAGCACAACCTCTGATCCAAAATATGCCAATACATAATGAAAGGCCTATTTCTGAACATCAAAAAACATACATTATTTATTTGATCGTGGGCTGTGCTCATATTTTAATTCTTTGCTGAAGGTAGTTAAATACGCATATTTTCTGCAAATTTCAATAACATTGCAATTTCTCAAAGCCTGTTTCAAATATTTGGATTCTCAAAACGAAATTTCATTATACAACATGAAAGCACCAAGTGTCTACTTCATTTTGATATATGAAAATGGAAAGAGGGTGATAGTTAATTAATTGATATAAGTACAGGGCCATTTTATGCATAAGATGGCTCTTGCTCTTTTAAGGGTGGTTTTTTTTTTAAATATAACCTCTTTAGATCACCTGAGCTGAAAACTCAAATGAGCTTTTCTGATCACACGTCCCTCTGTCCTTTGGTTTGTCCCAGTTGGTTTTCCGCACTTTTTTTTTCTAATTGCTTGTAGATATTGAGCTGATTTTAGGTAGGTGAGTGTACAGGTGACGTTTGAATTTCAACTTGCATCATTCATTTGACTTATGACAGAATTATGGCATTTTTAATTTTTTACAATAATTATTGGGATTACTATTGGGTATGATCGGGTTCGTGATACACTTATGTAATATTCCAAAGAAGCTGCTGCCTATCCTACAGAAAGAAGGGGAATCCAGTAGGGGGCGTGTATTGCTTATACAATGGTTGTGTCTAAATATCACGAGTCTGAGGTATACATGAATATTTATGAGTTGCAACTAAAGAATAAAAGGAATCCGGTCCATCATATCATTCCCGGAATTTTTACATTCATATACACACATATTATTACAAATATGCTGCCTCCATTATTAAAACACAGCTAGTTAACCGTTTTTTTATCATTTATTAACGAAACGAAAGTCAAACGGTGAAAAGATTGTGGGCAGAGTAAACAACTGTAACAACAATATGACTGTACATGTACTGAGTAAGGCGACGAGTGACAGAAAAAATCTCGTGCAACACGCACGGAAATAACAAATACAAACAAAAAAGAAAACCAAGGCATGCCGGAAGAAAAAATTCCGGATTACAAGACGGCACACTCCTCGCTTGATATTAACAATATCATCAAATTTCAAAATAGACATTTAAGATAATGTAAACATGTAATAAATTAAATTACAGTCCATTTACAGTCTCTTGTAATATCTGTTGCACTGAATGACAGAAATGTTCACTGTTCCACAAGAACGATAAGTTCTGTAACGGGACGCACATAAGTTTTTGGTTCACCATTCATGATAATACGAATTATCACTTTACGCACTAGATCATCATCACTAGGTAGAAACTTGACAACGAATCCCATTGGTCAAAAATTGCGGTGTAGTTCTTTATCGCAAAGTAACACCACATCACCGGATGACAGATTTCTTTGTGGTAGATTCCATTTACGACACATCTGAAGAGTGTTCAAGTACTCCGTTTTCCATCGTCTCCAGAAAATGGATGCTAAGTGTTGTACCCTCCTCCACTGTGTCTGTAACAACTCACTCTTGTTAACATGATCAGAGAACAGTTTGTTGTCTTTAACACTTATTTTCTGAGTTAGTAAAGTTGATGGGCATAACACAAATGAATTCTCAGGATCTGTAGGTACCGACACAAGGGGTCTTGAGTTGATTATGAATGAAGCTTCTGCTAGAAATGTAGTGAGCACCTCATGCGTTAAACTCCTAGATCCGTAGTCGAGTAGCATAGCATCCAGTATACGTCTGGTGATCCCAATCATACGTTCCCACACTCCTCCCATGTGAGAGGAGTGGGGAGGGTTGAAGATCCACGTTGTTCTCTGCTCGTTGAGAAAGTTGTGGAGATGTTCATCCTCTACATTTATCACATTGACCTTTAACTCCTTAGCAGTGCCAATGAAATTTGTTCCTCTGTCAGATCGAAAGACGTGAACAGGCCCACGTATGGCGATAAAGATATGTACAGCCCTGGTAACAAGACAAGTGAATAGAGCAACCCATCTTTTACTGTTTGCTGCGTCACCTCTGGTACGTCGTGTGATAATGTTCCACGGTCCAAAAATGTCAACTCCAACGTTAGAGAAGGGTGGTTGTCCTGGTATGAGACGATCCTCAGGTAAGTTAGACATTTTCTGGTATTCTGGTACTTTTCTAAGCTTCCTGCAAGTGATGCACTTATGGAGGACAGATGACACAAGTCTTTTACCTCCGACGATCCAAAATCCAGATTAACGAATATGACCCTCTGTAACATGACGTCCTTGGTGTTTGACATCTGAGTGAAGTTTTCTGACAATGAAAGTGGTAACATGATGTTTCGCAGGTAGAATTATTGGGTTCCTAAATGAAGCATCAGCACTGAGGTTTCTCAAGCGACCACCAACACGTAAAATTCCTTCACTGTCAATGTACGGGACTAGTTTTTGAATATGACTGTTTTTTGACAAAGGTTTAGAGTCCTGTAAGTTTTCAACTTCCTCAGAATAGAATTTCTGTTGAATGTCTCTAGTAATGACCATTTCAGCTTTTCACAGAAGGTCAACATCACTCATCATGCTCTCTGCTTTACGACACTTCTGAATAAATCCATAAACTTTAGCAACCACTGCTACAAGTTTGTTCCACTTTGAGAATTTTGTGAGAAAATCATTGTTCAGGCCGTAAGCTGATTTTGTCTCAATGTCAGTTTTGTTACAGCGGATTTCCTTGTCTTCCTAGGGACTCACAAGAGGAAAATGTTCTTCAGAAGGTATGATGTCTGTTTTTTCTAGGTTAGAGATCCAGACACAGTTCTGCATTTCCCTCGGGAGAATTCCTCTCGTGCTAACATCTGCTGGGTTGATTTCACTACATATGTAGGACCATTGTGACGGATCACTTAGACTGAGGATGTGAGCAATACGATTAGCGACGTACACAAAAAATCGTTTCTTAGCATTGTTTATGTATCCTAACACAATCCGACTGTCACTAAAATATTTCACATCGTCTATTTCTATCTTTAGCTGTTCTTTTGCTGTTTGTCCTACATTCACAGCAAGTACCGCGGCACAAAGTTCTAGTCTAGGGATTGTATGTCCACTGACAGGGACCACTTCTGCTTTCCCTAAAACGAAGCCTTGAGAAGTAGAACCATTGGGATAGTGCGCGTTTAAATAGCAAACAGCAGCTATGGCTAGTTCGGACGCATAACAGAAAATGAGTAGCTCGAGGAATTTGTAACTTTTCCAAGTCAGGTAAGTTATTCTTCCATTTCTCCAATTCTTCAAGTAGGTAATCAGGTAAGGCTTCATCCCAGTCTGACGTGTCTGACACTACTTTCCGCAAAATAATCTTGCCCTGAATAATAACTGGAGCGATGAATCCGAGAAGATCATAAAGACGGTTCACAACAGAAAGTACACCTCTCCTTGTAGACGGTTTGTTTTCACTAGATACTTTGAATCTAATGGTATCCGTCTGTAAGTCCCACAGAAGTCCAAGACTGCTTTGAGTTAAGGTATCCTTATCGAAATTCAGGTTAACAAGGTTCTTGGCGAGGTCATTAGAATTAAAGGCTTCCATAACTTCTTTGACGTTAGATGCAAATTTGTGAAGTCTTATGTTACCATACTCTTTCATGGCATCTTGAGTTTTGTGTATGAGGCTGACTGCCTCATGAGAAGTTGCATAAGATTTCAAGCCATCGTCTACGTAATAGTCGTTCACAATGAAGTCTT